TATATGTATAATTATGTGCATATGTGTAATATATATGTATGTGTATGTAAATTTATGTGTGTATATATGTGTATGAATGTGTGTTTATGTATGTGTATATGTGTATGTATATATATGTCTATATGTAAATGTATATGTGTATGTGTATATATATATAAATTTATGTGTATATGTGTAATGTATACGTATATGTGTATGTGAATATACATATATATGTGTATATGTATAATATATTTTTTTTATATTTTTTTTAAATTAAAAAAAATATTTGCGACGGATTTTTCTGTCGCAAATCCGTAGTAAACGTAGATTTTTTTGTTTTTTTTAAATATTAAAAAAGATATTTGCGACAGAAAAATCTGTCGCAATTCTGTCACAAAACTCGGATTTTGTCCGTCGCAATTTTGCGACAGATTAACGACCGACAAACTTTTGCGACAACAATATACGGACAGAAATGATTCTGTCGCAATCTGTCGCAAATTTGTAATTGCGACAGATATTCTTGTGTAATTGCGACAGATTTTTCTGTCGCAAATTTTGATGTTTCTTGTAGTGAAACCTTAAACATTGTCTAAAAAGATCGATCAGAACAAGTAAAGCATCTAACTTTATGATTCGATCTTGTCGTGGAGGATCACGACGAGGTGATGAGCGTCATCTAGAAGCTTCCACACATCGAGCTGTCTGGCGATGCTGTTACATTCTTCCACGATCTCATCCATGCTATTGTATTTTTGTATGATCAGTTTCCTACGCAACACTAAGGTCGCTATAGCGTAGAGCAATAGATCATCGGTGGGCGGTGCCTATTGCCGGATTCTGCTCCACAGAGGTTTCCTGCAAATCCCGGCTCCAATGGCGGCATGATCCGCCCGCATCTCTTTCCAGAGCTGTAATTTTTTAGAGTAAATAAATGAAAATTTAGAGCTTGTCGAACGATTCAAGTAAATTACGAGTACGGTGGAGGAAGAAAATACTTTTATATGTCATTCATGAATGATTAAATATTAAGGATTCGTCGGAAAATGTTACGTTCAATACATAACATGAAAAATGATCTCATGAAAATCGAGTTGTAGCTCAAATAAACGAGCGAGTAGCCTATTTTTTCTGAAAAATAAATGTTAGATTTGATAATCGGACCGCAACTCGAATAAACGAGCAAATAGTCTACTTTTTCTGAGAAATAAAGGTTGAATTTGATAATCGGGTATAACTCGAAAAACCGGGTAGGTAGTCTATTTTTCTGAGTAATAATGCTCAGATTTTATAATCGGGTTGTAGTTCGGAAAAACGAACGGGTAGTCCGCTTTTTCTGAGTAATTCGAAAATAAACGAAAAATCGCAACTGTTCGAAGATAATTTCCGATTTCTTCATACCTTTCGATAGTTGGAGTGTTTATAAACACGCTTGAACATCCTAACACGATATACAATAGATCTAAGTCATTTTTGAGAGATTTGAGAGTATTTTTGTGATTGTTTTTGCAAAACATTCACAAAAGCTTTTTGTTTTTTTTTCTTGCGTTTTCTTGTGTTTATGTTTTTAGGAGAGCAAACTACGATCACTTTTCTATTCATTGTATCTCAAAAACGTATTTCGGGAAGTTCTTTGCTCATATAGGACGAAATAATATTTTTCGAAAAGTGCACACACGTCTTGAAGAGTTATCCGGTTCTCAATTTACTTTTATATTCTTTTGTATCCTAATATCTAACAAGAAGGAGGGTATGTTCAAATGTGAGTTTCTCTCCTACACATCACCTATACCATCCTGTAACGAAGCTGCAATGTTCGGCTTGGAGATTTTCTAAGTGCATGTAATGTTGCGAGTCCTTGCATCTGATTATTCTCAATACCCCCATTCTTCTTACCAAGCAAAAACAAATGAGATGTAGACAAAAGCTTTAAACTCTCGTAGATAATCTAAAAAATTAGGGTTCGGAGGCGAAGAAGTGCGTATCCAAAACATGCCGAATATCCGCAGTTCATATGGACAGCGAAAGGGTTTTTGATGAAAGTACGAAAATAGCCTCAGTGGCACTATCGTAATTTTGAAACTATCAGATTCGGCATTCAACCATGCTCAGAAGCAAAAGATCCATGGTCTCGGGCCTTCAAACAGTGAATCCAATTAATCGAGACCCATCATATTTCCATTCACATATATCTAATCCGAATGTGGGTAAAGTGGATTGAAACTATATGTTTTTAATCCATTTAAAAACAGATCGGATTGATTCAAGTAAAAAAATGATAGGTTGGCAAGTCGGGCTTCGCTTCCGGAACCCTCTTTCTGTACCAACAGATTCTAAAACTTTTGATATGTTAGTCTTCTTCTCATATACACACGTGGAGTCAAGGGTATCAATCGTGGCGGATCGGCCCGATCCACAGTTGGCGCGAAGACTTCAGCTTCGGATTTGGATCGGTCCGATTTTTTAGGCCTAAAAAATCAAATCCAAAATTCGGCCCTATAAAACTTGGGTTTAGATCGAGTTCAGATCGGTCCGATCCACTTAATACATAATACATATAAAAAAATCAGATTTTATATGTTTTTTTTATAATTAGAAGGTTCACTAAACCTTCGCATCACTTAATCTTCTGTAGTCCTGAGTCAGTTTTTAGTCACGTAATTAAACGATTTTATCATCTCTCGACCACTAGACTACCAACTAATCAGACAGATTTTATTTGTTTGTAACTATTTTTTCAAAAAAAAAATCGGGCTTTCAGATCGGTCGGAAACTCATCGAGTTTAGCCTGAGTGTGATTTAGTCCAACCCCCAAAAACCCAAAACTTTTTAGACCTAAATTTTAAACCCAAAATCCGGTATTTTGGGATGGATTCGGGTCGTGCGAGATTGATACCCCTAACGTGGACCCACATTGCACAGGTATGATACTTTTGTACTGTCACGGATGGGACATGTCACTGCCCTTTTGTTTGTTTATATCTAACTTTCTTCTACATTCGGCAAATTGCTTGTGTTTCGAAGCGACGACGTCAGTCCCTGCCTTGCACAATTTTGGAAAAACTAATTAGGTTTGCTATTTGTTTTATTTTTGTTACAAGGAAAAAAGACCCTTAGCATTTCAAGACACTATATGAAAATCCATAGATATAATTTAATAAAATGGATAAAATCTGATACAAAAAAATGCAACCTTAGGTATATATCAGATTCGAGTAATAATGTGTTAAACAGGAAATAATCATATTTGTTGGAGTATTAAATTATTTTCCACTTTTGAGATTAGGTTCTAAAGAATTTGTTCTTTGGTTTTATGTGGAACCAAAACGGGATTCGATTGACTAATGTCCAATCTACCCCTGGTCAACAAAAAACTCTGGCAATCACAAAGGCTAATTTAGTCATTTTGTTCCAAAGTTTGGGCTCTTTTTAAAGCGGGGGCCGAACTCCATTTTCCTTCGTCTTTTTGCTGATTTGAGCTTTGAAGTCATCGAAATTCCAAAAAAAGGCAAAAAAATATCCTTTTTTTGTCTGTAAACTTGTAAAGAAATTAAGAGTGTAAAAGCAATTCGGTTCGCTCGCGTTAGACTCAGAATATACGAGTCTAACAAAAAAGGGTCAAACAAACCGCATTGATTCGCATATAAGAAAAAAAAATATTTTTTAAAATTTTTAATATTTTTATATAGAAATTATATTTTTATTAGATATTTAGTTTATTTTATTTAAAATTTTAAAATTTATTTTTATTTTTTAAAATATTTTTTAAATTTATATATTTGGTTCCTGGATGGGTTCGTTTGTTTTGATTTGGTTAGGTTCTATTTTTGACTCGTTAAGAAACAGTTCGGGTTGGGTGGAATAAAATATTCCTAGATGGGAAGGAGCGGGGGGCCAGCCCCTTTACACCCCTAGCAACTCTCTTGATTAACGATACGTCTTATTTGAATCTGGGTTTCGATTTTCAGTGCTCGCCCAACCTGAATTCTGGGTTCATATGGGGTTTTGTCTGGATTGGCTGATGGTTTTGATCGTGTTTGCAGTTGAGAAGAAATGTCTTCAGATTCGAAGAAGTTTCTGACATTCGAAGAAGTTTCCAAGCACAACAAAACCGAGGATCTCTGGCTTATAATTTCCGGCAAGGTTAGAGCTTTTCCTCTTCTTTTGAAGAACTTCTCTTTGAATCTAACTTCACGAGGATCGGTCATGTCTGAAGTTGGTCTGTGTTTGTTCCCGATGATTTGGACATGTGTAGTGGTATGAGATTGATTGTGTTCTTGTCTGAAGATTGACGCTTGTTCTTGAACTCGATTTCAGGTATACGATGTGACACCATTCATGGATGATCATCCAGGAGGTGACGAGGTCTTGCTGTCATCAACAGGTGAAAAGATCAGTTCTGGCTCTCACTCATTAGATCAACTCTGCTCTTTGATCCATTCAGATAACTAGTCGTTTTTCTCGGAATGTTTGTGT